AAAATTTTTTCTTAATATAATCCAGAATATTTGAATGACTATGAATCACCAGATTAGCAAATGAATTATGCGACTTCCGATTTCGTGCGTAAGATCATTTTCTTAATATCATGAATATCAAGATCACCAATTTATAAGTCGTAACGCAGACCGAATTTTAAAGTTATAATGCAATAATTTATATTATTTAGTTAAACTATTATATATCTTTTCGACCGGATTTATTTCCCATATCAGAATATCGTCGATATTTATTACGCCCGATTCCCCTCAATAATTAGATATACCGACTAGACGCGTATCTAGATAATAATAATAGAATAGAAGATAACTATCATAAGATCTCCCCCACCCTAAATTAATTAATATCATAAAATCCAAACAATATTTCAATTCCCACGAAGAGAAGAATCCCACCGAATCCGATTTGAATCCATCGAGAAGAACTCAGACCTGTCAAATCCCAAGTATGTATCGTAATATACACAAGCCTAATTATTTTCAGAGCGCGCCAGAAAATAGTCATGCTTCGGGCTTCAACATAGCGTGCCTCCATAGTCTGAAATATTAAATATTTCAATTCCCATCTGAAAATTTTAAATGTGATATCGTTTCTTATTATAGCTTGAAGACGCTCCATATATCCCTATATATCTTGAAAGTTCGACTTCATGCGAAAATCATCAGTTGCCCGTAGCCTGTCAAGAAATGCTTCCATGTGCTATTAATGCTTTTTGTGCTCTCCTCCTTGAATAGTACGGCAGGATGTTCTTCAGATTCGGGCATTAAGTCTAAACCAGGTTGAGAATGTCGTATCCATGGCGTACAAGACAAGCTGTCCGAATCTATTTCGAGCATCCTTCGATGGCGACATGGACGAAACAAAACCTCATCTCTCGTTTCACTTTGTGTTCGCTCTTGTCTCCGGCAACCATCTGGAAACCAAATTCGCTGTTGAAAGCTCTTTCCGTCAGGTGCTCGTGCGATGCTACAGCAGATACGGAAAATGGATCTCCGCAGATCCATGTCACAGGAACTTTGCCTGGCTGTATGGGAATTTGACTAGGAGGCTGACCCTTTGCAGCCAAAAGCTAGTCAATGTGCAGAAAATGCTCCCGCAGATTTTGTTCTCCTGTTTCATGTGCCTCAAGTGGGCAGGTGGTGACCTGCGGCAACCCGAGCGAATAGAATAGCATGCCGGAGGAGGGGGCTGTTGATCCGCACCCGAGTCAAGCAGCTGCCTGTGAAGCCCAAACCTCGGCGCAGCAGAAACTACACAGGCTGTGTTGGTGTGAATTTTGGCTCAGCCAACGGCCACAAATTTGTCTGTCAGGAGGCGCGACCTCGGAGCGAAAATGCTTGCAGCGCTGCTGTCTGACTTGCAGTAGTCTGAGATAGGAACAAACCGTCGAGACCGTGATGCCTCCGGCCAAATACAATTCCAAATTGCTGAAGGGCAGGCGCAAGTCAGAACGTAATGGCCTGCAGCCCCCGAAACTCAATGATGTTGCCTGGTCCGGGGAATGTAGCCAGACGTGGAGTTGGAATCTACCTTCGGCCTTTGGAAGTTACGAACGCCAGCGAATTGCCAAGATATGCATCACGCCGATCTTGCTCAACCAGAAGCACATACCTCCGAAAGGAACGAGCTTGCCTGAACAAGTGGATCCACTCTTCTGCTTTGTAGGGCATGAGCTCATCGGCATCAAGTGTCCAAGGACCCACAGGATCGCCTTCCCCACGTATGAAACAAATCCAAGTGACTCTCCAGTTCTTGTTAGAACCACCGCACCTCCTTCGAAACCATAACGCCGAGAGGAACCATCCCTGAGCCTTGTGGGAGAAAGGATCTCCAAATGCGGCTGGTCACCATGCGTCGCTTAGCTACGAAAACAAGCGCTGGGGGCATTGCTGTAGCACCAGCTTATCCACAGCAGAGCCTGTCTCAGCGTATGGCTTATCTAAGATTTGCACGGCACGCATATGCACGCATCGGGCTGCTAGGGGCCTACATGCCCACTGATCCGGGCAATGGCCATGGCACCTGATCTTCGAGAAGTTATTCACGGGTCATCGAACGCACATAGGCGACTGGCTTCCATCCAGCGGAATCCGTTCCAAGTAAATGCCTGTGAGCTGGCTCCTGGCACCGCGAAGACTCATTTTCGGAAGCGAACTTGGCTGAGCGGCGGCCCAAGGCAGCTCGGTTGTTGGCCCCTCAAACTGCAAGCCGGTGATCTGACTTCCTGTGGGCCTGGAGATGGCACGTCTCAGCTTGGATTCCAAGAGGAGTGGAGTGAAAGGGCGCAGGGCGCAATCAGCCGTCTTCTGCTCGTGGCATCATGTCCCTGAAAGGCAACGATCTGACACCTCAACAATTTAGACTCCGCTAGACTTGAGCGCCGAGAAAGCTTGTCATAACTCAAATTCACTTCTGAGCAACAGGCTCAGATGTGTAGAAGACTAAGCTGTTTCCAACGAACCTCATTCGCGTTTATGAAGAGGTATCGGTATGGACCAGTGTGGATCTCAGTTTTGAGCCCATGACGAGTCCCTCTCTTGCTGTGTTACAGCTAGGATGACTTCGTCATGATGGAGTCGGCTCGACTTGTGCTGGAAGCCACCTCCCAGAGGCGAAGCGAAAGCGACAGCAAAAGCTACGAGCTTTCGCTGCTTGCAGGACTCTCGCTCTCTGGCCCTGGCGCCCTGACGCCCTGGCCTTGCTCTCCGTAGAACAGCCTCTTGCCTCAGCGATCGTTCGGAGGGCCCCCCCCCGCGTGTGCTGCGTCTGCGGCCCTTTGACCCGGGTGAGAAGGACAAGAACGGCAAGCGCTTCCGGCTTCCTGCAGCTGCTGCTGCCCGTGCCCCGAAACCTCTCGAGCCCATGATGTGGCCCTGGAGCCGTCGAACGAACCACCGCACAACCGCACCACCGCTGCAGCCTTCTTGCGATGCAGCAGACCATGTTGTTACTGTAGTTCTCAGCTGGCGCTCAACCAATGCGCTTCAACGAAGTTGTCGTCGTGACATGTATCAATTCTCGAGCAACATATGCACCGGCCTGAATTGGGAAACTTCGCTTCAGAACAACACCGTGTCTATCCGCCTGCAGAATGTATCGAAATCCTTGAACGCGAACTGCCAGTCTGTTGGACTCTGTTGGATGCGCTGTGAGAAGGCTGCAACAGTTGATGCAACTGAGGTTGGAACCCCCACGCAACCTGCAAGCTGGAGTTACTGATAGCTTTGCATCTTGCTGAGACCAACCTCACTCGATGAGGTGCGGGCTGTATCTCTACACAGTCGACAGCGTTGCCAACCTTCGCGCAATCCGACTTGTGATAGCGCTATCTCAAACGACAAAGGCAATGAATCAGTAAGCTAGGCTTGTGGCCGAGCCAGAAATCTGCCGCACCGCACCCTACCAGCAACACTCAATTGATAGTCACTTAGCCACTTAGTCTTTTTGGTGCTGGGCATTTGTTCATGCAGCCGTACGGACAACACAAGTCTTGCAACTTCAAGAGCAAACGTTTGGGCTGGCTGCCTTCCGCGGCTGGCTCCAGTAGCGCGTCGTTGGTGCCCCCTTGCCCGAAAACTTGAAGGGAATTCTTACAGGAAATGGTTTCATGTTTAGATTTTAGAATTTGGACTTGACTGGGTGCTGCACAGTTTTTGACCCGCATTGCGAAGCTCGGGCAGTGCTCTGCTTCGAGAGGCTTGCTACGTCGAGGTGCCACGACATGTACAAGGCACAACGCTTAGTTACAGAGATCAGACGAGAAGTTTGGATCTCTCGCAGTGCACTGAACAGGACAGAATCCTGCAACACACTGAGGTATTGCTGGTCGGACTCACCCTACTTTGGGCACAGGTAACACATTGACATGGATGATTCAAGCTGGATCTCGGCTCGGCACACCGAAGAGTGTCAGCGTGTCTGCGGGAGCCGGCACCTCCTTCGTTTGGGGTCGAGGGAGCGCTGTCAGCTCTCCCTGGAAATCTGGTGAATGTTGCAAAGGCTTGAGCAAGCGACCCAGATCTTTTTGACGGGGATGCGTTGTTCCGACGCCGGATGGCACATTGGCCACAAAACTGTTTATAAAACTTGCAAACGATGATTTAATCATCTTGCTCACCTAAGACCTAAGCTAAGCCCCGCTCATGAGCGGCCTAGGGACGCTCTGGCGGGGCCGATCTGGCCGATCCCGAAGCAGCAGGATCCCCTTGTGCGAAAACTTGAGCACGCGCACAAAAGCTGTTCCCGTTCGTGAAAGCCTGAATCCCTCTCTGACTGAGGCTTCGGCCAAAAAACTGGATACAATCAAAGCAGTGTCTGCACCGCGACTCGTCCTCTGCAGTTCTTTGACATGAGATGCTCACGTCGCAAGGGTCAGGCTGACCTGAGGTCCAGGTAATGCTCTTCGCTGTAGGCTTGCAGCTCGATGGAGGCAACCTTATAGACGGACGACGGGAGCTTGCCATGCCATTGAAATATTCGAAAGGGCTTTGTAAGATCGCCGCTGGCTGGCCGTCAGCTGCTGCCTTCGCAGTGAGGCAGAATCGTTCCGGATTTCCCTGGATCACCAGCATGGCTCTCTCGGCCTGGGTCACGTGACACAAGTTGCATGTGCTGGTGCCGAATGGCTGGTCGGGCCTTTCCAGATGAGCTTGTCACGATCACGGACAAAGAAACCTGCCGCGGCTGGGACTTGCCAACACAAAAGGCACTCCGTGCGGGTGCTTCGCTGCAGCACACCCGGCCTCATCCAGGCTCTTCTGCGGCTGCTCATGTTCAACAATCTTGCCGTACACTGTTCCATCGCCTCTGCAAACTTCGATCCTCCGGGAACCCTAATATCAGCATGTATCAGCAGCTGCTGACATGAGTTCGCCGTGGCCGTTCGGCCGGCAAACACTCGGGCCCATTCCCCATCGCTACCGCAAGTCCAAGATCGGGACATGAGCAAACCCGCCTGCTGGAGTCCTGCATCTCCTTCAGGGACACCTTGCTCACCAATTCGCTGCTTCGCTGGGCCATGTGAACATCAAAGGCGCTCCTAAGGTCCGCCGAAACAGCAGGCAAGCACAACTGCCCCACCTCCTGTGTCATATGAACCGCGGTTTCGGGCCCTGGCCCACAAGAGGTGATATGAAGGATCTTGTTCCCGAGCGGTCCAATCCTCCGAAGCCGGAGACAGGCAGGTGCGGCTTTCTCAAGATCACTGAGTCGCTGCTTTTGTGACTTGTCTTGTGGGTGTGTCGAAAGGCTGTTGGGTCGAAGGGGCTTCGTGCCGCAACACAGAAGCCGAAGCCTGCACTTCTGCTGTGGCTATTTGCGGCTGTTGGCAATCCAAGACTCACAAAGAATCGTCCGGCACCAGTCTTCTGCACGGTCTGCACGGCATCCAGGCTGACCTGCGGGCTGCCAGAGGCTGGGGGCAGCAGCCGCACCCACTTAGTAAGCATCGCAGTTTGCCCCTAGCTCTTGCACTTCTTCGTGCTACCTGCCACTGACACCAGTACTTCAATCGTTGGCCATGGATGTTGGACTGTGGAAAGCCGCTCAGCTCGTCAGATTCAGAACCCCTAGGGCGGCCTCTAACTGACCTTCCCGTGCAGGAAGCACCAATGCTGGAAACAGTGGTTGCAAAGGCGCCGCAGACGCCATGAACATGTCTCCTCTGCAAGGCGAAGACAAAAAAATCATGAACAAGAGGGACGCCGGTGCCAACACGTAAGAGTCTACCACAAGATCACCTCGGAAGCTCAGCAACTTTGGCAACAGTCTGGCGTCTGGATTTGTTTGTACGAGGCTGTGAATGGTCCGAAAAGTCTTCCGATGCAACCAGGGTCAGTCACATGGGGCATGGCTCGGCATGGTGCTTGAATGTGCTTGACAACAACCCCCAAGCGTCCTGTCGGTCGCCCGGCTGCAGAGATGGCAGAAAGGCGTAAAGGTGGCACTCGCCTCGAGGCGGCGCTCGCCTGTAACGACAGCGGACGTTTAAACGGCCTTTCGGCACAGGAAAGGTCAATCGGACGACGCTTCGGTCCTGAGAGGCCAAGGACATCCGACTCGCGGGGCCCGGCCCCAGTCCCGGCCCGACGCTGGGGCGGCCGGATACGGATGCGTCTCCTTGACAGGCGGAGGGGTGGGCTCTGCCCCATGACGTTTCCAATCTCGGCAGCCTGGTGGAGCATCCTTAGGTGGAAGCGACTGCTGGCTCAGAGCCAGATACGGGTCCTGTGAGAAACTGCTCTCAAGTCAGACTTCGTCAGCCATGGCCATGCCTGTCCGGCCTGCGTGCGTCTCGAAGCGGGTGTCAACGCCGTCCGCTGGCTCCTCGCTCGGTGAGGAGGTTGAGCAGAAAATAGCTGGCAAACCAGGCAAAAGCTCTGAAAGTTAGTCCTGGGCCATGATGACCCATCCTGCTCATTGCTTCGGATCTGCTGCAGCTCCACGTTTGCTAAAATTTCTCAGGGCTGAAGCTTTTGATTGTGCTGTGGTCCTGGGAGTACTCTGAGGGCGCAAAGGTCCGGCAATCTGCACTGAAACTGAACAGTGCAGCAAAACCTCGAGTTGCTCAAGCTGTGCAAAGGTCCGACGTTCGCTAAAACCCTTGAAGTCGTAGTGCAGCTGTGGTGCATGCAATCAGGACAATGGTCATGATCAGAAACGGAGCAACCTCAAAGTCATTGAAGGACTTGTGACTTTGTCGTGCTGACATCGACATCTCTTCTCGGCGAGGAGCAAAAACAAAGGTCGCAGAAGGTCGGACCATTTCCTGTGCGGTGCTGCGCGCCGCCGCCAGCACCTGCACGAGCTTGGAGCCGGAGCCGCCGTGGGAGCCGGTGCCAGGCTTTCCTTTTGAAAGGGAGTTCCGCCCCCCATCACAGCGCTAGCGCTACGGCGCACTGCTAGCTAGCGCACTGCGCAAAGCTTCCATGCATGGCTCCTTCGGACCAGCCCTTGGCATCCGGATGCTTCACGGAGCTCATTGTGTCCAACGTCATATTCGACGACTGACTCTTCGAGCTGCCTGCGCCAACATCAGGTGCTGTCTGGAGCTCTCTCCTTTCACTCTTCTCGGCCTTGCTCAAGTTGCTGCAAGTTGACACTGCGGTTAAATTCCTCTCAGGCTGATTTTCAAAGCAGCTTGTGGATTTTCTGCGCTATGCAATGCTCAGTCTTTTCTCGGCTCCTTGAGCTGTGGTTTGACCTTCGTGCAAGGACGCTGCCACCGCTGTGCTGTCAAGAACGGGTCCCGCACACTCTGCACCAATGCAGTGGCATCGCTGTCGATGCCCCATGCGTGGTTAGCGCTCTCACACCTGCGTCGAGCCGTATTCTAATCTGCGGTGTCGCAGCGTGTGTGTGTGTGCGTGTGTGTGTGTGTGTGTGTACGTGTATTTTTGCATGGCTGCGTGCAAACCTTCTGTCCCAAAGTTGTCTAGCCTGGAACTGCAGATGGTATCAGATGGCACTTTACGTGCGAGGGGCAGGGGCCTGTCTTGGATACCTGTGCCGTTGCAGCCAGTCCTAAACAGTAGCAGGGTTGTAAGATCCAGCACCCTTTGTCCAGCCCATTCCAGCCATCTCGATGTTTGCTTTGCGTCTGCAAGATTGGAGTGAGGGAGAGAAAGAGATGTATCCCTCTAGCTAAGGCATAGGAAGACTCGGATGCAAGCGTTTGCGCGCGCGTGTGCACTTAAGCTTCCGAATCTTGGCAGGTTTTGTGCGAAGCATGGTGGGTTTCAAAAGGCGGCCTGACTTTTCAGAATTGGAAGCCGCCGAGCCTCGATGTTTCCGCGGAGCTTGTGCATCTTAGAGGCAGCACTGCTAGGACGGCAAGCCTGGCAGGTCAGAAGCACGGGCTGTGTCTGTAATCGAAACTTCGATCCTGGCCTTGTCAAGAGGTGCCGGGTCAATGACCCCATTGCATGGCTCGGGAAAACTGAATGCAAAGCGATGCTGGCACAAAGGAGGGGCTCGGTAGCGGATAGAAACAGCTTCGGTCGAAAGAGCAAGCATGGAGGCTGCTTAGATTTCTTCTCTTTCTGATATATCTCTGCGAAGGCACAGCTCCTTGTGACGGTATCCTCCAGGTCCCGTGGGAGAATCAATCTCCAACGGTGAGGTGTCCGTGTCCGAACAGGTCACCTTCGCTTCTGCTCAAGCCATCTCAAGCTAAGAAAAAAACATACAGCAGCGAAGCATTGCAGCTCCCTGCTGGGGCGTTGGCCGAACCTTCCGCGGTGCTCGCCTCGGAAAGCAGCAAACAAAAAGTTAGCAGCCAGCTCCTTTTCTCTTCGGCACATTGCCTCCAGCCATGGATGACTCAAGCAACCTGTGCTGCACTGCACGCGCAAAAACGGGCGAAGCAATCACGATCTCCGTTTGAGAGTGCTGCCCTTTTGGTCGAACCTGTCTGCAGGGTCGACACGCAGGAGCCCTTGCCTGCGACCATTAGTTGGAGTCTGGGTCTGTGGCGGATTCCGTGAAAAACGCGAGATTGCGGGACCACAAACAGAGTCAACAGCGATTCCATCGACACATGGTCTGATATTGTAAGTGCGGCACACAAAGCCCTTGGCATGCTCTGACACGCTTCGCCAGGCCTGAGGGTGTAAAGAACTGCAATGAGGTGCTTGCAATGTGTGGCTCGCATCTGTTTCTGACTATTTGTCTCTTAAGTTTAGTCTTTTCATCTGTGTTCTATAAGCCCAGTCGCCCGCATAATTTTCCATATCTGCACATCTAAACATTAGTTCATTTCATCATTGACACGCTGTTCTGTGAAGCATAGGCACTGAGCTAAAAAAAACCGGTGCAAGCCCCTGCTGATCACATCATCAAAAGTTGGAATTCGCTTTACTTTCCTCGGGAATGCACAAGTTGTGGATGGAAAACATACCATAGAATGGGTCTAGGAATGATCAGAGTGTGATGTGGCGGTAATAACATCTGCGTGGAATACTCTTGTCGGCAATCCCGTGCTCGATCGAGCGTCCACGGCAACGAGTCAGCTTGTGTGAACGGCATGAAACCCAAGCTCCAGGCGCCCTGGAAAGTTAGGCTCTCGCCTGACAGGCGCTTGATGTCCGCAACGCCTGCACGAATTGGTTTGCAGGGCTCACCTACAAAGCAAATTCCACGCTAAGGACGCACTAGCTAGTCATTACACAACAATCCACATACCAACAAAGTGCCATGCCCCCTCTTTGGTTGAAGCGCGAACTGCGCCAAAAGAAAGCCGGTTCCGGTGCCGGCGTGCACACTTCTGCGTCCCCCGCTCAAGTCGCCGCCCAGTTGGTGAAGTCGGTAAAAAAAAGAATAGGTTGGCGAGGGCGAGAAGTCCAGAAGTGGTCGAGCCGAAAGGTTCAACATCCGACCCGGACTTCTGCCAACGCGCACACGCGCGCTGGACAACAAGTCACGCGCTATCCCATACTGAATCTGAACACGGCACACCGCACGAAGCGTGCGCACGGTCTACCACAGTGCCAAGTCGAGGCCGCTCAGAGCCCCGAGGGCAGGCGAAGTCGATGTCGACGGCCGCGTTGCCGAGGACATGCATCACATCATTCGCCCAAAGGCGTGGGCGAGGTCTGTGCCCACGCCGGGTCGGACGCAAAAGGCCGTTGACAGAAGGGTCCTTGCCGTAGCCTTTCATGAAGGTGAATGTCCAAGCGAAAGTCAAACCGGGAGAACCTGCTCGAGGATCTCCGGTCACCCTGTGCAAGAAGAGCCGACAGGAGATCCGCCGTCGGGCGGAAATCACCTGTCTGTCGATGCTCTGGACTATGTGTGCCCTGAGCCTTAGAAGGCTTGTCATGCAAGTCGGCCAGGGCGTGGTGGGCTGATGGTGCGGTTAGCCAGTCCTCCTCGTGCCGTTGAAATCGTCGACGAAATGACCGAAGATCAACAGGAGAAGCGCCCTGGCGAACATCTGGGTGGCCCGGCGTCAGCTCCAGACGCTGGCGCCCGCCGCCCAAAACCACAGTCACATCGCAAAATGCAGTGCAAAATGGAATGTCCGACCACTGGCTGGCCGGCGCTGCCGAACATGGCCGAACGTTGTTCAGGGTCCCAACCACCGCCGCAGCACACATCGCCGCGACAACAGCTCTCACGTTGGACGGGCGAAAGGGCTTGGGCTCAAGGGGCGTCGGCTAGCAAGCACAAGCCAAATCCAGGAGGCGAAACGACGAGAGCTACGGCGACAGGCTATCACATACCATTGGGGAGGCGCTAGCGCCCAGCTCGAAAAAAGGGAAAGCCGCCGCCGAAACGGCCATGTCCTCCGCTTTTGACTTTATCGGCCTAAGGCCATTGGTCAAAAGGTGCTGTGACACATGGATCATGTGCTAGCACAAAGGTTTCCGAGACGCTGTGCAAAAGAGCCTGCAGATTGGCTCTGAAGCCTGGAAGTGGGAAAGCAAACTACGCGATCTGCCAAGGCCCAGTCGCGATCATCCGTCATTCGGGCTCGAAGCTGAATCCACCCATTCATGGAAACCCCTGAATGCAAGATTGATGCGCAGCACGGCAGCATAGTGGGCAATCTCATGTATGTCCCCTCCTTACTGCTTCCTGTGATAGCCGCTGACACGGCCGCTTGGTTATCGATGAACCGTACATGTTTTTGACAAGGTCGGGGTACAAAATGGGAATGATGAGAGCTGCCAATGTCTCACCCGGGAATATTTGTTGTTTCCTGGGCTTCCACTCTGACGAGACCTTAGGACCTTAGATGGTGAGGAAAGGGGGTGCGGTAAAGGAAGCATTGCACCATGTGGACGAGTCTATCCTCGGTGGATAATTGTGCCATTCCTACGCCTTGGGCCTGGCGCAATACTGGACCGGCGTATCGAGCTGCGTTACCCGCGCGTGCTGAGAACAACCATTGAAGGTGTTCCCGGAGCTTGCTGGCCTCATCACGGGAAGGAGCCCCTGACTCAAGAATCTTTATTGTGCACTAGCTCCTATTCCTATATCCCACCACCATCCCCAGAACACCTCCAGGACGATAGCAGTAGCGAATAGTTAGCTTGCGAGCTAGCCGAGCGACAACCAGACAGGGCAAACACACTCAGCTAGCACGGACGCATTTTTATCGGAAGTGGCAACTATCCCAGGTTGCCTGGAGATATCGATAGCCGTCGGCTATCTATCCCCAGGGTGGGCAGGGCGGGTACTTCAAAATTACCCCCCTGATGGGGGACTTTATCCAGAATGGCAACGGTCATACACATTCGTAGCCATTCCAAGTCACAGCTATCCTGTCTTCGCATGTCAGAGGCAACTCTCCTGCGAGCGACGATAGCGAACGAAACTCCGTTTCTAGCGAAGCTACTTTCAATAGCTTCGAGTGGAAATAGGTTAGCTAGCACACATAGTCGTAACTCGTCCCTCGTCACGAGGTACGTGCACTAGCTCCTATATCCCACCACCATCCCCAGAACACCTCCAGGACGATAGCAGTAGCGAATAGTTAGCTTGCGAGCTAGCCGAGCGACAACCAGACAGGGCAAACACACTCAGCTAGCACGGACGCATTTTTATCGGAAGTGGCAACTATCCCAGGTTGCCTGGAGATATCGATAGCCTTCGGCTATCCATCCCCACGCGTCGCCACTCAGGCTACCAGGGATCTAGCTTCCGGGCCTTGCGGCTAAACTTCGACACCCTATCCGGGGTCCCTCGCTTTCGCGTGCCTAGCTCCTTGTAGAAGCTATCTGCATGCGCGAGTAGCCTGCCCAAAACTCGCCACTGGAATTCCTCCCCCTTCAGATCTATCCTCTGGTCGGGGTCGAACTCCTTGAATTCCTCATTGGTGAGGTCGTCCACTAGCTGGTTGATGTCCCTTCGTATCCACTGGAGCTGTAGCTCGCAGTTCTTCTGGGATAGCTCTTCGGCCACCTCCATTAAAATTAGCATAGAAGGATACTTGGTTGTCATAGCCTTCTTCACAAGTGCCTCGTTGGACTTGTTATCCGTATATCCACGGATGGCAACTCGCGAGGTCTTCCTATCCTCGCCCTCGGGGACCCAGAGACGTATCCCCACAAGGGTCGCTAGCAGTTCTAGCGCAGCTATCACTTTCTTGGGATCGCCTTTTGAGAAGGCCCAGGGAGCCCAGGCCTTATCCACTTCTAGCGAGAACCAGGGTCCCGGCTTCCCTTCGGATGTCTCCAGGAAGCCCCCTATCCAGGCCCTATCGGACTCAGCCTTAGCATCCGTGAAAAAGCTCAGTGGTGGTAGCCCAGCGTAGAGGGTCACAGGACGTTGTAGCCTCTCCCCCTGGTCAAGCTTGTCGGCTAGCCATCGCATCAGGACCCGCAGCATTGTTGGGATAATGAGATATCCCGTCTTCCCTTGGATAGCCGCGCTCCAAGCATGGAGCGGCCCCAGGAATGGCCTCTGCCAGTCAAGGGCTATGGCAGCAAACCCTAGCCTTCCGAGTCCCTGCTGCATCTCCTTGGCGGTGACCTTGCCCGAGGCCACCTTGTCGTTTAGCCAGGTAGATAGCCAGGACGCTCGCTTCTTCGACATTCCTAGCCTGTGGGAGGAGTACTCCGTTTTCATTCCCAGCCACTCCACCCTATAGCCACCACGAGTCTTCGCCCACTTGAAGGGATATCCCAGGACAGAGAGGAGGAGGTAACTCAGAGGAATCCCCTTCCTCCCCTCTGTCCCTATCCCTAGGGCCTCGAGGTCATCGGCATATAGCAGGAGGAACAGGTGATGGGTTGCCCGTAGCCCACATGCGGCTATCCTAGTCCACCAGTAGCTCGCCGGGGAGAGCCCGAAGGTGCCCACCTTGTTGACGTAGACAATCTGGCTATCCGTGTCCCCGGGGACCGTCTCCTCGGTGTCTATTTGGCAGCCCATGAAGCCATGCTCACTAGCCTGATGTTTGTATCGCCGATGGGCT